AGTCACACAGAGAAAAACATTTACTGAAAGATATACAGAATGACAACTCCATAAATAAAAAGGTGCATCTGACATCTGTACCACATCCAAACTGGACGCCAGTGCTATCAAGACATTGCTATTATTATTATTTTTTATATGTAGCAAAAAGCCTCCCTCAGGCTGAATGACAAGACAATGATGATCATGGAAAATAGGAATACTGTGACCAGCTGACCCTGGACGGACCTAATCAGGCCACAGATGTCAGACGACAGCAAAATACAGAAGTTTTTTTTTATCAGTTTTTTTTTAAGCCAACTGAATGAATGTTGATGAATTCTGAATGCTTTGCTCTCTCTGCCTTCTTTTATATTTGTAATCCCTCTGTGAGTCACAATGAGAAATGTTTTCTGTCATTCATAACAGCTACCACAAAGAGAATATGTACCGCAATTTTTAACAAAAGCTTTGTCGATTTTTTTTTAAATTTATTTAGACATTCATGCCCCCTGACCTGTACCTACCTGCATAGTAAGGAATTTCAGAGCAATTTAAGGTTGCTGTACTACCTAAACGTAAAGAATACATGATGTGCACTTGAGTGTTAAATGTTATGGTATTGTATGTTAAATGAAATGGAAATAAAACTAAATTTATGGTAAAAAAAATAAAAAATGTATTCATTCATTAAAGAAAACAAGCATAATTATTTAAATAAAACATAATCATATGCGATGTGTCACGCAGGGAATGTCCTTTTACTGTTTGACACTATAAATTATATGGTAATTATGGTGGTAATCACAGTATTTACTTCCAAAAACCAAACATTTCACAGTATTTTACAGTAAAATTATATATAATGTGATGTTTGACCATTTAAAGTATTTGACTGTATATGATAAGGCAACATCCAGACTTAAAACTGTGGCATGTATAGTCTCAGAGAAATTCACTAAAATATAATGTCCTCATATGAGGACGCAGGGTATAATAATGCATTATTTCAGATACATGTACAATCCAACATTTCCGATTATTGATGTAACCTACGCAATATAAAATATCCTAAATTCTTAGTTGTAACACCGTGTTACAACTAACCCCGCTGTGTCGTGTTTACCTCAGGACCGGCTAGCAGTCACTATGTGTTTTTCACATCTTTCAAAATGGTAGCATCTTTTAGCCAAGAAGATGGTAATCACAAAAGTATGTTAGTCCAATCTTATATTGTTGTGATTACTTTTTTTGAACAAATATTACACATCATCTTGACATTTTTTTTTTAGCAGCGAATAAACACAAGGTGTGAAATTAAACAAAATACATGGATGGATGGATGAATGCATGAAATAGTAACACGGACTTTTTAGATAGTTGCTTCTGGCTAAAATCCTCTATCTATAATATTGCTTTGCCTTGTGAAAAAAATCATCTTGTCTGAATCAGGAGAGAAATATGCACATATCAAGCAATGAAAAATTCCAAACAAATATGTCAATGGATTTTAGTAAATAAACATGCAAACTTTTAAAACACATTTAGAGGACAACAGGGGATGGACTTTTTTACTGGAGGAAAAGTTATGAATTATGGATTACTATTTTGGCCAGAAGTGACAGTTTAAAGAGGAATTTGTTCATTACAAACATACAGTACAGCTTTTCGCTTCATATGACGTTAATTGATGTGTGTTACTTCTGGATTATTTTGATGTTTTTATCAGCTGTTTGAACTCTCATTCTGACGGCACCCATTCACTACAGAGGATCAATTGCTGAGCAGATGATGTAATACTAAATTTCTCCAAATCTGTTCAGTGAAGATGCAAACTCATTTACATCCTGGATGACTTAAGGATGAGTACATTTTCAGAAAACATTTTTTGGGTGAACTATTCCTTTAAGATGTGCTGTCTTCACTGGATTAGTTTGCAGAATGCACCTTTGAAAATGACCCTGGTCCTGCACAGTGTTAATTAAGAATTGGAATTCAATGTAAACAAAAATGGATTGTGCATTCAAATGTGATTTCCTTATCAGAAGAAATCTGCTGATTTTGACACAAAAGACTCTTTAAGGTTGTCAGAAACAAGGCAATTTTTCAAAAAATTTTTTAAATGAAATTTATGAGAAAGGTTATATTACTTTATTTAAGAAAAGTTTGATTTAAATGGCGTTCTCTGGTGTCTCACAAACCCTTTTCTTCTGTGTTTTTCCCCTGTCAACCTTTAGCTCTTTCGGGCTATAACAGGGCTGATTATGTAGCATGAAGAACCAGAGCAGATGCTCTATCACGATGAGATGTCCACTGACAATTACAATCATTCTTCATAGCTCATTTCCCATAGAATGATGAGGGAAATTGCACATATTGCTCCCTATTATTAATAGAGCTACTTCATATGGAAATTAGGTACTAATTTTACTAGAATGCAGAAAAAAAAACTAGAATGTTTTTCCCAGTTGATATTACCAGAGAAATACTGCACTTCTGAATTACCATACTTAGTAAAGATGAAAATACTTTTTTTTATTATTGTCAAATTAGTTGAAATGAAGGCTAATTAATTTACAGATGTGCAATGTCACTATAACGGGATTGTTAACGATGTAGGTTAAGCAGTGAGAATTAGGTTAAACACCAAGAGATTTGTAAATTAACTATTACAATTTTTTTAACAAGCAACATAGAAACCTTGATGTTTAATTAAACCATCCATTATCTGTTGATCAAATAAAGGGATGAAATCATAAAATCTGTCAATTCATTTACGGTTTCAAAAAGATGGGAAAATGTTTCTTTGGTGGTAGGCCAATTAGTTCACCATCTCCAAGTATACTGAATATTGAAAGTCTCTCCACATTCAGCACTTGTAGGGGAGCAGGAATGTGAGCAGTTTGAGAGGAGAAGATGGTAAATCAGAGCCATGCAGGTGTTCATCTTATTACTTAAGGAGGAACCAAGAGATAACGTTCCTTTCTTCTGGCCTGACTCATGTAGCTGCTTTCTGATAGGCTGACTACACTCGGACAAGCTCCTGTCGGCTCCTCTCTCCCTCTAATCTCACACTATGACAGGTTAGCTCAGAGTCTGTATTTTATTTGTGTCTAAATCTGTATTTCCACCTGGAGCGAGGCGAACAGGGGTAGCTTAAAGTGTACTGTATATGCCACAATGCTGTTTATCATTTTCTGCTACTCAGTACTGAGCAGGTAAGAGTAAAAATCACTTCTCCCCTTAATTTACTTTGGGGACAAAACAAAGATACAATAATATGACAAAAGGAAATGTAATGCTATTTTCTCTCTTGCTCTCCTAATGTCATTGTTAATTCCAATTGTGTCCTATTACAAGTTATTATAAATTGTAATAATGTTTTACAATATTACTGATATCACTGTATTTTAAATGCAACCTTGGTGAACATTTAAAAGTGTAAAAAATGTAAAATAAAATAAATAATAAAAGATACTGTAAACAGGTGTTTTCTGTCATAGCTGTTACTATATTGTGTTTTTGGCATGGCTGTAATGTATGGACCAATCAGCATTCAGAACTGCAACTATCCATTTTAAAAATGCTATCAACCAACAGCTTTCAAGATTTACCCTTCAATTCCAGATTCACATGAATGAACGCTCTTTGGTGAATTTGCTCAGCATTGGCCTTATCACAGAGAGCCTGTCCCTTATAAAACATTCCTCCTCCCTCTTCACAACAGCTACTGTATTGGACTTTTCCTATTGTATTTTCAGCGCTTTGGGAGGACCACGGACAGCTCTTCAGACGGGATGCGTTAATGTGAGAGTGGTCAGTGAGCGATTGCTGATCCTGGAGGGTGATAAAGAGCAGGAGCCGACTGCAGAGCTGAATAACGAGAAGCCGGTGAGCAGCGCAGGAGACAGATCTAGAGGACACAGTCTGCAGAGAGAGGTCAGTGACTGTCTCCACTGCACCCTTTCCTGATAGTGAGTTACGGCGTCCAGTGGCATTTTAAGCCAAACAAAGTTATTCAGAGGGCAAATTGAAACAACAACAGTCCAATCCTAAGTGTGAGTTGGTGCTTATCACATCTAAAAAATTTCCTCATGTCTAAGACTGGACTGGTTAGTGGTCAAATGAATCCTTAAACTCTTGGAAAGCGTACAGTGCCTGAAGTCAACCTTCTGAATATTCATGAAGATAGACATTCACTTTTAAACAATTACAACGCAAGTAATAGTTCTTAAATTACATTAGGTTAAAACCAGTTTAAAAATATATTAGTGTAACACTCTGTAAATTGGTTTTCTTTTGATACTTTTACACAAGAAAAAAAAAAAAAATTGCATAGCATTTTTTAAGCAAGATCAGGCATAAGACCAGCTACTGAAAAAAAGGAGGAAAACCTGTTTTCCTGCATTTATCTGACTATATAATATTAATATATTTTTATTAATAACTTCAAATTGAAACAGACACTTTTTTTTTAATTTTTTTTTTACAAACGTTAAATTATAGCTTTTCTTTTGCTGAAAACTATTATTACAATTTTGGGAATATGGTTGGTGCATGGTGCATTTTCAAATTCACACTATAAGTGACTCAAACTCAGTGCTGCAGAGACAGAAATCATGTGAAGCAACATTTACTGTGAACTGAGCCACTATGAGATTCTGAAACTTCTTTGCTGGGAAACTATTTAAAACCCGTACAAAACAATATTCCATATTTAAATCACATAAATAGCCTGACAATAGGTGGGTTAATGTTCATTTAGCTTGTCAGTGTCACAAAATAATCCCCTTCAAGATGATATAAGACCCCTCCACTTCACGGTGGGATCCTGATCACCCAGTTGAGGTTTATTTTGAGATAGTGACCTGCTGACTAGACAGAACTGCCTTGTTTGTTTTGTTGTGAAGTACAAGAATAGCTTGGATGAACCTTGCATAAGCCAAGCTGAGCACATAGTGAATGGGACAAACAAGTGTATTGATTAAGGGTCATGCAAATCAATTAAAACAGACTACATCTTCATTATGTGGCTTTTATACTGTACAGGCATTCAGGGATAACCTTCTCTCACTACAGGGTTGCCTCTTCTTGCTTTATCAATACCACTTTTTCAAGGGTGGAGTAGAAGTCACAAACTCTTTGGCCACATATAGGAGGAAATGCTCCCCTTAAGATCTGTCAGCAAACAGAAGGAAACAACACAGGCAAATGACAGTCTCACAGAGCTTTATTAAAGGTTTCAAGAGAGGAGCAAGCGATACCACAGGTGAGATAATGAGCTGATAATCTTGAGCAGAGACTTAGCTGAACGGTCACTGTGGCTTACCTTTGCAGGTTGTGTCTGATTCAGTGTGCTGTGCTGAGGACAGAAGATGATTGCTGATGACTGGAATGGGTCTGATGAACAGGTAAGTTGATACACCTAGGTAAACAACAAGACCAAACATTGAGGTGGTGATGGGAAGGTGGCTTTATATTGTGACTTGATTTGTGCTGACAGGTGACGTGCATCAGAATTCTGGCGATTGTGAGTGGGTGGAGCTGAAGGGTCCGGCGTTACTGGTGACTCTGTGACAAGAACAGTGGTAATTTGCTGCTAAATTGAAGGTAACATGACCCCTACTTGGTACAACATGCCCACTGGATTAAACTTATTCCAGCAGTCATTTAAAAAAATGTAGCGTTTTTTTTTTTAAAGATGCCAATAGTGTAAAATACTACATCTAAAAATACTAAACATATGAATTACTCCATGTAAATTTATGCATTTTAGTTGAATAATTGAATAATGACAAAGAAATCAAATAACAGAGTTAAAGAGAAACATTAAATTTTTCCTTTGTAATGCTACGAATTATACACAAGTGCATTTAATTGGAAGGATGCCATAATAGAAGTAAACCATAAATTCAAAAACACCCACAAAAATATTTTTATATTCTACAAATCAAAATGAATTGCCTTATCTACAGTAAATAGGCATACAGTAAATAAGACTTTTAAAACACGATTAGGATAAAAAAAAAAAAAACGAATGCAAGGAAGGCAAACTATTTTGTATATCATTTATGAATGGGAATGATAATTTATCCTCCAGTGCTCCATAGAAGTTTTAGCAGGTGAAGTCTTGCCCTGCCCTGAAAGCCATTCTCCATATCCAGCTTATCACATTTATGGGCAGGTGCACGCCTGCCCTCTGCAAATTAAATGTGGGGTAATTTCATATTGATTAATGCAGATGCCTTCCTTTTGGCCCATATTTACTACCTGGAGCCTATTTTGGCGAAAATTACCGGTGCCATTTCAGTGCACAAGGCAGCCCTTTCCAATAAGGTATGGCTCATGTGTCAACTGGGGCTCCAAAAGTACCGCTCTGCCTGCAGGAAGCACTAAAGCTTTTAATTGCCTTCTGTGCAAATGGTCCTTTTGTATTTTATCAAGTGTCGGGGAACTTCGGCATGCCTGGAGTCGCTTTCCCTCTCAACTCAAGTTTTTATTATTTTTACATTTCGACTAATAGCATTGCAGTATTTACTCCAAGAAATATGGTGTATAACACTAGCGATATGCAACCTGAAATAAACAGGCTCTCCTCACCTTTTTTGCTTTTCACTTTTGAAGCTTTTACTCCAATACTGTGGCACGATAACCTGGGGTGAAGCGATAAACAATCAAAGTGCAGCTTCAGTAGAAACGATTGCGGCCAGTATCCCAGCCTGAGATGGGAGCCATTATTAACGCCGTCCCTGTCCTGACAATGCTATTTTCTGGAAGGTAATAGCAGATTCAGATCTCTGAGTTAGCCTGACTGGGAGTAAATGCCACCTCCTTAATTATTGTCTCCTCTACATCCCCTCTATTGAGTGTCAGAGATGTCTATCGGCCAGCAGGATCTTGGGGAAAATGACTCTAATGGGAAATGACCAGTGTGTGGGAGGCTGTCACAGATTAGAAGCGACAATTCTAATTGATAACAGCAGAATTCCCTGGATGGATGACTGGGAAAGTCACTTTGGAGCAAACCTAATTGGACTGATTTGTTTCTAAATGAGGATCACTGAATACTTCCCTCTGATGCACACCTCAGTTTTATTTAAAACCCTTTAAGTTAAATATTCTTGCTGGTCTTTGTTAAATATGACATTGCAGATGATAAACAGTACTGCCTTTTCTATATTATGTACCAGGAAACCCACGATGATAAAGGTTAATTCAAGACAATGTGGTGACAATTTGACATTGACATGACCAGAGTTGGGCAAGTTACTTCCAAAATGTAATACATTATATATTACTAGTTACTGTCTTTTGAAAGTAATTAGTTACGTTACAATATTACTGTCTCTGAATTGTAATGCGTTACACTACTTTTGAGTTACTTTCACCAAAATATCCACATTAGTATTATAAAATGCCAAAATGTAGTTTAATGCTGCTCATTCTACATCCAGTGGAGGGTAATGTGGTAGGTCTATATAGCATAAAATTATAAAATCATATTACAATTATAAAAAAAAAAAAAAGTATTTTGTACAAAATGTAACAGTTATTTATACTACATATACACATATATACACACACACACACACATTCATATATACATATATATGAATTGAATGATCATTATCAGCTTGATGCACCATGATTAATCTAAACATTTTTGACAACTAATTGTTTGTTCACAATGGACCAAATAACCATTTAATCGATTATGCAACTTGAGAATGTGTGTGTTTTCTGCATAGTTAAGTTAGTCAATTTACACAACACGCAATAGTGCACAGTTAAGCAAATCAATAGCATACCACAGAAAAAGTGCATCAACATAATAGCTCAATATCATGCTCAATATTTATGCACACCAATGTTTCTATCACTTCAACTGCTCTGAAAAGTTCATATCGTCTCACTGTCCTAGTGTTAGCTTCCATCTTAGCTTTTCAGAGGCTCTGATGGCGTTGTTTTAGGAGTTCCAGAAAAATCCATCATCTCTGTTTGTCAGTTACAAGAAATATGGTGCTCTTTTCTAAGTGTCCTCATATTAGCTGACATTCTTTTGCTGCTGAGATGGGCACCGCGGATCCCAAATCTCTTGCTAATGTTGAAATGACAAAACAATAACAACATTTGTCTTCTGTCAGTAGGTATTGACATAGCATTACAGGTGCCAAATTGTTTTGTGTTGTGAAGTGTGTCTTGGAGAGCTCATGAGTTACCAGGGTGCCATTACTGACGTGCATTTCTCTACTAATGTTTGACTCAGAGCATCAAGCACAAAAGATGATGGACAGACCTCATAAGGTCGGCAGCAGATATGTCACTTGACAGAGTCTTAACACTTCGCTTTAGAACCTCAAAGTGTTTCATAATAATCATTGGTGCTTAATTTTCATGAAGTAACACTTCAAATGATTCCCATGATAATCAATAAGCAATTTAAAAACAAATTCAAGTGCAAAGCTTCCGTATGTGCTCAGCTTAAAAGGCAATCCTATAAGCCTGTCGTGTGTTCACATATAGAAATTAAAGACTTATTTTAACTCCTGCCTTCAAAGGTCAACATTCACCTCCTATTCAATAAAAATTTACTGACCTTGTCACCTACTTTGTATAGTTTGTGGAAGAGCAAATTAAGATTCAGGGCCAGGGTAATGGGAAAGTGTTTTAATTTCCGTGTGACATTAAGATGTTTGTGCCCTACAGGCATGTGGTGGAGCGAGGAGCCGGTGTACCCTCCCCCGTCTGCATGTTTTACTTTAACACTTCAGTCACAGGGAAAGATCAAACGAGCCGTTAAACTAATCAAGGGGAGACCCTGGAAATATAACTTCAACTGTACCTCTTTTTTTCTTTTTCTGCATAGTAATGCGCTGTTCTATTGTCTATTATGGTGCGGATGCAGAGAGGACTTGTGAGCTCAATCGGTGACATTTCACAACCAATGATCTTGACGAGACCATGAGTTGTTTTTGGCAAAGCATACAATATACATAACAGACTTCCACAAACCAGAACTGCAAAAAATGTTTGTCTTACTCAATAATATGCTTCATGTGGTAACATCTAAAGAACTGGTTTTATTCAAGTAAAAAAATAAAAATACAAAAATAAAATTAATTAATTGACTAAAATTTAATGTGTACACTTTTTTTAGGTAAACATTTTTTCAGTGGTATATACACTGTAAAAAAAAAAAGGGAAGAAGAAAGAAAACAAATGCCAGTTACAATTTTTACATTGAAAAAATGGTCTTGGTTAATTTCTTGAGAATTTTTGGCATTAGATATTTATAGATTTACATATTATACACTTACTATGTGTACTGTGATAGAATTTTTCAGCAATGCATTTTTTCCAGAAACATGTATTTCTTTGGCTTCATACTAAAAAAAAAAAATCTCTAACATCAGTGTACTGCTATCATAACACTGCATCCCCCTCATAACAGGTTTTGTGCATCTCATAACCTTTTCTCCAATATCATGGGATTTATTGTTCTTTCAACAGCATATGAGAAAGCACACACCGCATGAAGCCAGAGCAATGCTCACACTCCACACAACACAACAAAGCAGGTCCGCTGGTTTCAAGTCGAGGACCAGTATGATTCCCTTCAAACCATATCTGAAAATAAGACCGTTTCCTTCTGCAAAGGCTGAGGGGCAGCTAAGCATTATCTTGTTACCAGGCAACAACAATAGAGGTGTATAGTGAAAGGTCACAAGGTGATCCACCACTCATTTTCTACCAATAGTCTCGGCATCTTTGGTGTAAACTTCAAATAAAGCAGTACTTAGGACATATAGAGCGACTCAATACCCACTTTTTCTTTCAGCTCACAAAATATGTGAAAAGAACCATGATGCGTAGAAGCATACAAAAAGATGTTTTTGTACGCTATATAATTATGTTCAATGGAAAGCGTAATGTACTGGAAAGGAGGTTAATTTGATTAGATTTCACATTTTTTTGGTAATTAACTGAAGGTTTCAGATGGGCATGATTGTTAAAAAGAACGTAAGAACGCAAAACAATATTGATAGCTGTAAACGCATGTCAGGACTAAAATAAACAAAAGCAACATTACTGAAATGATGCAATTAGTCATCAGTGACAGCAACTCATTACTCTAATGGGACAATCAGGGCGCTAGTGACTGTTTAATAATGGGACAACCATGGACGCAAGTGTCTGTTTAATCTAAATGATTTCCTCAAGTTAAAAACACAATAAGTCTGTTTGATTAGACAAGCTCACTTTGTGCACCTCGGTGATCACATTATCACAATATACACTTCACACTACATGATATTTGCAATAAAAAAGGACATTTTTATCTTCTACATATCCTGTCTTTCGCTCTCCCTTTTTCTTTGGGTCTACGTATCTCTCATATCTATGTGTTTTTACAGCATAATA